TCCAGAAATGCTTGGTCAGTTTTTAATGTTTGGAAAAGTGCACCGTTCAGTTCATGTAACTCAAAAAAGATGTCAAACAGTCTTCATACATGGAAGAACAATACAGAGATACACAAAAAGTGTTCATTTCCTAGTTCCTTTTACTGAATCCTAAACATGTTAAAGCCATTTCGTCACAATACTGTCTAAAACATTGAGTTCCAGTGGTTATTTTCAGAACCCCACATACTCTAAAAGGAGATAAATCCATCTACACTGTAGTTTACTCAGTGATCTCCTTTTTGAGATCAGACTAAAGCAACTCAAAAAGCCAAAGTTATTCACCATGATTGGCTGAAGCGGTATTACAGCGATGATGTTCTGAAGTGGATCAGACTTGCAAAACACTTTGCTCAAAACTGCGCCTGATGCAAGACACCCAACGCTTCTCTCACCCAATCCGCCAGAGAATTCCAGCTCTAGAGACACACCCTTGTCCCCATCAGCCACCTGCTGATACCGCAATCTCCCCCTCCGACAACAGTTGAGGCCCCGTTGTCTCCTCCATCCAGAGAAGTTCTCGCTCCAGACCTACATGCATACCTGCGAGATTCAGGGATCTCACACAGCCCACATTCACTACACGGATATGTCCCCGTGAGGTCAAGTTTGTGGAAGCAAACACTGGATTGCGTAATTGGTGTCCCTGTTTTGACTGCACTTCAGCACAGCTGAGCGAGTCATCGTCAAGTAACTCTAAACCGAGAGTGACTTTTTTGCTTTGATCTAGTTTTTTTTTCTACCTCCAAGGTTATGAGGACTACATCGTAGTGAAATATGCTTATAATTGCATCCTTTGTTTCTCAGTGGTATCTCTAGTTTTGTGAGTTTTGTAGATTAGACTAGCTTCTGTCATAGTGATAGCCCAAAATGCGGTAGCAGTCTACACGAACTGAACCCTTAAGTGTTTTCTCCATTCTGCCCAATTGCCCATGATCTCTAGAGCCTCTGAACTACTCAACAGCATAACAAACTTTTAGTTACTTTTGAACAAGAAGTCTGTTTCCTTTGTTTAGAACAAGGAGGTTGTAAAAACTTGAGGTGGGGGGGTAGCATTGTGCACCCACAAACCTTGGTAGTGAAATTCTGGCAGCCCATGTCATACTCATTCTCATTGCCTTGCATTCCCAGTTTCTTTTATCTAGCTCGGCTTTGCCTGTGCAAATGTAGCAGAGATGCTTATTTGGTATTAACTTATTCATACTGTGCTCTGGCATGTTCCTTCACTCCTTTGTCTTTGTGTTCCTTCTGCTTAGTTTGGCATGTTAGAAATTCTTCCTCTGTGTGGCTGCATGGTTGGGCTGGGTAAGCTTCCCTAGAATGCTAATATTTGGTAACCTCAGACTTTGTAACTCTCAGTCAAAGATGATTGTGTAATCCCTTTTTGAGCCCGAAACTAAAGTTTTGTACAAGTGACTTTTTATTCTGTAATTCACATTTTTACACATAACACTTTCTTGCACATGACTCTAGCAGGAAATCATGTGACCCGTTGAGATGGAAGATGCCCATTGGTTGAGCTCTTCAACGATATATTTTATTAATGTCCCAACCACAGCAGAGTGAAACACTCCTGTGTCCCTCACCACACTAGTTCTGCTGACTAGCTTCGATCCTCCCTGTCTCTACACTGAGCCAATGATGCATTTGATAATTGCGTTCACCACATTCTAGTCTGAGCAGCAATGCCATCAGTCCGTATCGCTGGCCCCGTCCAGGTGTTAGTCGTCACCTTGGTGGCCTTGGACAGCTCCCACCATGGCCTGATGGGTCTGAGTTGTGCAATGCGATACACCTGCACTTTACCCTCTCTGTAAGACTGGAATTTCCAATGGTCCCGCCAAGCCATTGTCAGATATAATGCCAAATTACACCTCCTTCAAAACCACTGCTGAATTTAGATGAAGTAAAAAGTTAAGAGAGACCAATAAACCAGTCATACAGTTTGACTGTCACCCAAACCCTTGTTTCCTTTAAAGTCCCCCATTCACCTGATATTGAGGGAATGCAACAATATCTGGTATTCCCCTCAACTCAGTGGCATTGTTATATAAATAAAATGGGATAGAATAAGAACAAAAATTAATAACGCAGAGTAACCCATAGGGGGGGTGTAATCGAATAGAGTAATCCGTAACAGGAGGGGAATAAAATAACTGTGTTAGTAAGCCTTAATGATTGCATCTTGAATATTCAATACAAAGTTACACAAGGTATCAAGAAAATTGGTACATGTATTCAAGTGTTCAAGACAGCGGTCTCTCAGGGCCCTGGGTTAAGTGTCCCAATATCTAGGCAAAAGGATATACAGGAAAATTTCAGGCAGTTAGTCTTGCTGTTTTGATGCCTGTAGAGTAATTTTTCCTGGAGTTAAGTTTGGCAGTGGGAGTAAAAATGAAAGTACATTTGTGTTGTGTAACCTGTAAGATATTTAACAACAAAGCTAGAAGTCAGAAATGTAAACTGGTTCGAGAGCCATTGTATGATAGAGAATTGGATATATTGCAGGAAAGGCAGGATCTCCACTGCCAAAACTGATTTTCTCATTTGGAGAAAAAAAACTCTAAAAAGTCTTTTTTTTCTAGGGAGGGAAAATATTTTGGTTTGATCACCTCTTGTTTTAAGAATCTCTTGTTTCTTATTTTCGTGTCTTCTCGATTTAAGAACTCTGAAGTAAGAATATTTTTCTACCCTTTTCCTAAAGAAATATTGGCACAATACCTTTCCTTATGGTAGAAGAAAAAAACCTAGTTGAAGATTTAATTTTCTTAATTTTTTTTCTTGTATCAAGAAAATCTGCCAGAATAATTTTCTTATTCAAATTTTCTAGGGAGTGACTCAAGAAAAGGTGTTTTTTTTTTTTTTGAGTGAAGAAAATTTTTCTTCTGCAACAAAGAAGTTTTTGTTGGTTGTTTTCTTAACATCCACCGTGTTTTTCTTGGGTGGTACAAGAACTAATTTCTTGATAAGGTTTTTTCTTAGGAAGGAAAGAGTTTCTCTTAAATTTAGTTTCTGAATATTAGTTGTGACAATGTTTCCAATACTACAAAAGAAGAAAACATTTCTCAACCAAGATGTTGATCATACCAATGTATAAATTCTTTGGAGAAATCTTTTCTGAAGACAGAGTTGATTTCATAAAATGTCTGAATAAAAGTCTTCCCATGCAAGGTGTAAAATTCAAGTATTTTCATTTCAAGTTCACATGTAAGTGGTTAATTGTTGACTCCTTGTATCATTAGCTCACCACTTTTGGTTTCAAATTAACGTAGCTGCATGATGTGTTGTAGGCCTGTTCCTGTTTCCAGAAATAAGGTGCTTAAAAGCTGTTTGAAATATGGTGTGGCTCATTGGTGTTGTAGAAAATACGCATATGAAAATAAATCGTTTGACAAATTCAACATATAACAAGGTTGGCCAAAACATAAATAAGCAGGTATGCACTGACTTTGTGACATTTGATTTGAATCATTTCATCATGCATTGTACATATGGATAACAATTTTAAAAAAATTAATAGGCCCTATGTTGAAAGCAAACTTTGAATTTCAAAACCTACTTTTAAGCATCATGTGCTTTATTTTTATTCTTCTGTTCATGACAATTCTGAAGTGTAGTTTGTATCAGATTTCACATTTAATGTGCAGCTGTCAACAAGAGCACAGGAGCTGTTCTCTCAGACAAGCCTAGCGAAGCTTGCATGTACAGTTCAATATGTGTGCTGTAAAACATACACTAACACATTTGCAAATTTTGAAACAGCACATCTGAATCTTTAATATACAATTTTTAATCTTTCTAATCCGAAAATGTCTGAAGCAGTTAGGTTCAAACACATAACCATCCTAAATTTATGGTAACTAAATTCAAACATGGTAGTGAACATAACTTTTGAACATACATGTACCTGATGGCAAAATGAAAAAGATGAAATACAGTGAGAAAATGTTTGCCCTTGGCAAATGAACATGCTGAAAATCTTTTAAAAGAGTGCGAAAAGCACCCTCTATTCTGACTGAATGCTTTTATTAATTATTTTCATGCACCATTTTACCGTATACCATGGTTACTATGCAGGATTGTTTTGTTGGATTTGCTGGCTTATTGTGATTTTTGTTTCTGAAAGCGAGAATTTTTTGCAACAGCGCATAGTACACAAGCACAAAGACACCTGAGCAGCAAAGGTGCTGATGATATCTCTAGTTTAAGATGTGGTACAGAAGCTGGGAGGTCTATGGGTTTTTAAAACCCTCCGCTGCACAGGGCCGAGTTTTTTCCTGTTAATGTTGAAAGGGCGTCATACGTGTATCATGTAAATTCACTGCACAGAGCCTACTTTTTATGCTCATTGCACCAAGGTGATCGTTTTGAGATCACTTCCGTTATAACCACAAACATTTGACACCCCCAACACAATGAAACTACTCAGACAGTTGTCTACAGCTCAGAGACACATAAGAGAGACCGACCATTGATATAAGACAGGCCCAGGCTTGCCCAGGCACTTTCTTTGTCAATAGTCCTTTATCAGCACGTGGCTTAGATATTTACATACAATCCCCATGGGAGTTGGCTGGAAGCAGGCCCTGGAAAAGAATTACGCAGCTCAGGGGAAGTCCCCATGTTAAAGGTGACTAAAGTATGCTGTTCAGCATCTACAGAGGTACAAATTAACAGGAGGTTTTTGCATTTGGCCAAAACAATTTTTTTAACACGTAATTAAGAAAAATTGGATCAAATCTGCTCTACGCAAGGTTTTAAACCCATGTCAGCCTGCATTGAATGAGGACAGCATGTCTTGCACAGAAAAATTCAATTTTCACAATGGAGCAAATGATTTTGAGAAGTCTGGTGTCTGTCTGAAAGCGTAACCTTCCGTCCGAATAAAACATAGATACAAATAAATCTTTGCCTTAAGTTATTCTTGTAATTATTAAGGTCAGTTCCATTGTTTTTCACAGGTCAACCAGAGACTTCCAGCTCAATGTCAGTCTCATGGCAGCTTTGGCTGCGGGAAGTAAGCACCCAATTCGTACCTCTAAATGTCAAGTACTGTACATATAGGAGGTTGGGGAGACTTTGTTGCGTCAGTCACACGTTAAAATTTACCATACTATTATGCAAAATTCTGTCAAAAGGCAATGATCAAAATGCTTGCAGCTATGTACCTGTGCATCACATTCCAATTTGCCAGCTGACCCAGGCAGGCGCAGTGGTTTGGTATTAATCCATGTACATGTATGTCTACACTTTTAAGCTAAAAGTTGCAGGTTTTACATGTAGTTTCATGATTGGAATGGCTCACTTGTGACTGATGAGCACTCACTCCTTTTAATGATTAAAAGATGGTTCTGCAAATTCATTCATGCTATTAGAATTGATTTCGTTTCTGTAGATACCGGCCTGAGAAATGGTGGAAATCATTTGGTAAGTCTTCAACTTTTTGACCATTTGAGCTGGATTGGTTACACATTTCTTTTTTGAAACCAACCAACAGTTTGTACTGAGGGAAATAAACATATAATTATTCACTTTAACCACATTAGATCAACTTAAGTGAATAGAATGGAATTGATCAATAATTTTTCCCACCCCTTATTCTCATCATGCAGCACGGCAAGTGATCAGTGAAGGCTTTCTTGTTGAGAGGCAGGTCATTGGAGGCTTTGGACCAACTGTAGAGCTGTCACCTAAAGGGCTTTGTTGGTACAAAGAAACCATGAAAGGCAACAATAAATCCTTCAAGATCAGTCCTAGTCAGGTGAAGAGCAACAGCCATAGGAGTGTACCAGGGAATTTTTGCAGAACTTGCCTCATTTGTCTGAAATCCTAGGACTGTACATAAAATCAGTAGCACACTCTTTGTACTTTTAGTGGCCAAGTTCTACATTGTGAGGTCCTGCATTTCCTCCAATATCTGGTGGATTTGAAAAATTTGGGAAGTTAAACATTAAATCAGTGAATACAAAACCTAAACTCTTCAACCCCATCCCAACATTTTAATCTATGTATTTATACCACTCATAGATAAACATGATAGCAGCCTCAATCGATTCAGTGATTTGCTTATGCAGTTCTTTGTAATTCATCAGCCAGTTTAGCAATTCTGTAAATCACTTTACAATTTGATTTCATGGAGTGACTTGTGTAAGTCCTTTTGACTATTTCATTCATCATTGTATTTTGTCAGTTGTAACAATAATTCTTTGGCTGTGATGATGTTGATTTTTTAATCACCAGGAGATGTTGTCCTTTGAGAAAACAGTCCAGAAGCCTGCCATCCTCCCACAAAGCATCAAATCACGGACCCTCCCCTCTACCCAATTCATTAACTGGCAGCAGGTGTCATTTGATGATGATGAAGCCAAAGCAGGACCCAGTGTGCAGGCTGCTCAGCCTAAGATGGATCCAAAGGAACAACAGCTGCAGGTGCGTCACTGTGTGCCAGTCAGTGTGCCTGTCTGTTTATCTATTACAACTTGAATCCCAGGGTTGGTAGCATGTTACTTTGGCTTCGTCTTCGGCTTCACCGGTTTCAGCCATTTTGAAAATCGAGGGGCTTTGACTTACACTTGAAGCCTTGTCTCTAATTTTGGGTAGAGAAACTGTAGCCAGTCAAAAGGGGAGCGTCACTGGTTTGTTGACTGACGTTTCTCAAATCTGTGACATTTTAAATTTTTGTCAGCAAAAGTGTCCATACATCTGCTGTTTTGCATCTGTTGTGTATTTTTCGTATTTAGGCCTTAACTTCACACATACGTATGTACCAGCACAACATTAACCACTTCATGCCAGGTGGAATAGTAGCATGCATCACCCGCTGATGGGCACTTTTTTCATTTTTCCCATTTTCAAAATTCTTTCAAAATTCATATCTTCATTACTGGCTGCATACACCCAAACAGATGACTGTCACGTGGTGACTCTAATCTGACAGGCAACTTTTATTGAAGCGTGAGTCTCGCAGCCACTCTTGCCGCCCAGTAAAGAGCCCCCATTGTGTAGTGTCAAGTAATTTTCTCTTTGCTATGTTGGAGGGCAGTGTTGCTATGCAGAGCAATTGACAGTCAAGCAGCGCATTGGCCGTGAGGGTGAACCAGGCCATTCATCGCACACACCAGCATAATGAATGCTGTACAGCGGTATTGTCTGAACTAATGGGGCCACATTCCATGAGCACGCAGCTGTATTGTATAGCTCATCGCTGGAGTGCTGGAGCACTTGTCCCCACTGATGATAACAACGATTGATTACCTCCACTAATGCCGGCACTCTGCGCTGATAGCATATGAACCTTGATTAGCAAGTCCCGGCAGCTTGGTCTTTTGTTAAAGAAAGTTCCGATTTTGGGTACCCCGGCCATGAAACACTGCACCGTGTCTCCATTACCGGGCACCCCGGCAGCAAGTGGTTAATGAGCATCGTGTTGTGAAGAATCATTGTGGAAAGAAGAATGCATCAAAGAGTTGAGTGTGAGTATAGAGAGTAGACAGAAGTTAATTGGAATTGTGTGTGACTTAGGCCTTTTAACCATTCAGTTTAAAAGAAGTGAGAAAACTGAAATATGCTAGCTTGGCTACACGACTTCTTAAATATTGAAGGCTGTTTCTAATGCCTAGTGGCGTATTTTGTACTGAGGACTGTACGATGCTTTAATTTTTTTTTGTAAATTTGCCTGATGGGTAGAGTGGATCATTGTTATGTTAAGTAGGCCTAGGTCTAGGGGTGGAGTGCCTCTATATTGATCTACATACATGTATATGTCACAGATATGTACTTGTAAGAGTTCACCTACGATAGAGTTCACCCATGACGTGATGAAAAAAGGTTTCAATTTTTTAAGAGGATATCTCTTTAAAAAGTCTTTATGGTAAGCAATTCCAACACCAAATAGTCTTGGATTTCAGGAACCAATAAATCAATATGGTAGATAATGTGCATGTAGTCTCCTGGGTTCACATACCCCTGCCCAGCCTACAAAATCAAATTTCCCATGTGCCTTTTACAAATCGCTGAAAGACTTGATTATGCATGCTGCCCTTTGACCCTCCACAACGCACTGCACTCCTGTCACCATGTTCGCCCTTCTTTTCTCAGCGCCTATCATTTATGGACGTGTCTTTCATGGCAGTTTCGAGTTCCGTACATGTACCTTTCACGTTTGTGAATTGACTTGATTCCTGTTTCGAAATAAAGAGTGATTTCTTATCTTTTGGTAAGAGTGCTTATTTCATATTTCGTTCTTTGCATGCTGTGCTTTTGGTTCTTTTCTGCCCCTTTTTTCCTGTGCATCATCTACAGGTTTGGGTGTGACCTACCGTGATGCGTTGTGTTGGGTATGGCCATTGAACAGGGCCGGACAGCCCTTTGTTCTCTATGTGATGCGTACGTTCGAATAATAATGGCCCAACGCTATATGGGTCTGGCCATCTCTTTTGTAGTGCAGTTTTGCCTTATCCAATAAGCAGCCTTGATGAGGAGAGACCCAGGGGAGTGAATAGGCTGAGGTTGAGCATGCCATGCCACACTACCGCCGACCTTTATCTACAAGATCGGGTTGAGCATGCTATGACGTAACAATGCCCTTGATCACTGATGACTACTCCATTCACCTACCCACAGGGCCCAGCATGCTGGACTGCTACAGTACCCTTGGTCATCTGTGCCCACTTCCACACGCCTATAGATCGGTTTGAGCATGCTATGCCACAACAATGCCCTTGATCATGATTGTCAGGGAATCATGAGCTGTTCCTTTCTCCATGCCACAAGTTCCGGGCATCGCTACCTATCACATCCCCGGACGACCCTACTGACCGATGGCCCAGGGGGGTTTTGGGGTAACAGTCCACCGTCTGCCCCGGTCCCTCACTGGGTCGGGTCCCTCACTGGCTTCTGCTTGCCGGGTGGCACTTGCTCGGAAGTCAGGCCAGTCAACTCCCTCCAAGTGGCAACAGGTCCACAGCAGGTTTGCCAAGCTCCACCACTTCTGCCATGGGCGAGTTGGCAATTCAGCATGGTGCTCAGCCTCCCATTGCTTCGGATGATGGTGCCCCTTCTGGACTGCTATGCCACCAAGGTTTTCATCCGCCACACTTCATCCGCAGCTCTAGCCTGCCGATGGACTCCAGTCATGATGCCACTGATCCTGACCTGGGATACTCCTTGCAGGATGACCAACCACTCAGGGGACCTCCACCCAGTCCCCCGCACCGGTGAGGCCTAGGAAGCACAAGGCCAAGTCATCTTCCTTGGCCTCTTTATCATCAAAGGCCAAGAATAGACGCCACTCTGATCCGGGTCCACCTCCATGGATGGAGACCCTCCAGTCCCTCTCGGAGGCCTTCACCTTTCTCGTCCACAAGATAGACTCTAAGCCTTAACCAGCAACTACGGCACCTGATCCGGATCCCCTCCTGGCTGTCCTTCCTCATTCGCAAGGGGCATTCTCGAAGGCTGAGGTGATTTCTATTCTCCAACCATAACCATCTCCCCAGTGAGACCTGGCTCTACAGCAGGTCCCAGTTCATAGTGACTCTCTCCACTTGAAGACGGCTCAGTTCTCCCTTCTGCTGGTCTTCGGTCTCTCTCCTCTGAGGATGATGACATCTACTCTGCTGCTGATGCAACTCAGCCTAAGGGCTGTCTTTGCCCTCTTAAGCGCGACATGATCCACGTTCTT